CACACACACACTCATACTTTTCTTTATACAAACGGCGGTACACTGCCTGTAAGCTCTGGAAAACAGGTTCCAAGTATAACTTACTGGAGTCCTTCCGGAAAAAAAATGAAAATGGCAACTTGGGCAGATCACGAAGAAACTGTTTAGGTACCTTTGATTCTGTAGTCCCCTCCCTCACCCTTTTTCTCTGAACTGGAACCTAACCCTCTGCTACACCCAACCCATATATATGTGTGAACATTGTGAACACACTAGTTACAAAGTCCTGTAGAACTTAAGAAGAAAGCCTGGCACACTTTGACTCTGGCCCCTTTCACTCGCAGATGGTACTTCATGGACCACGATCTTCTGCTTTCTCTCTCTTTTTTCTCCACAGGCTCGACACAGTCGACCAACCCTTTAATAAAAGCAGCCTTTTCTGATTTTACATTTATTATATAATCAAACTCCTCTTTCGAAGCAAAACGCTATCGCCGTGATCCGCAATGGCGGGCTACCTAAACGAATTAGACGGTTAGAATTCTTCAGTCATTGAATTTGAAGCCAGGCGGAATATACGGTTAGAATTTCTCTTTAAAACAAGACTTTTGTTTGTCAAAATTGTTCTAGATTTTAATAAGACGTAGCCATTCGTCATGTCGATCTATTTTACTGAAAAAAGCAATTCGAGAAAATTTCGGAGTTAGACGGTCAGAATTCTCTGCCGACGATATAAATATAAGTAAGAACAGACTGAAATAGCCTACCAAAGCAACACAAGATCTCAGTGCCACACTGACATGTTGTTGACTGGATATAGTGTACCTACGTGTGCGTGTGTGTGTGTATTCACAAACATACATATTAGATATAAATTGAGCATGTGCTGTCATTGTTATGTAACATGCCCCTGGAAAATAGATGAGGCCCCTCCCTTGGAAAATTGAGAAGCTGTGTTGGCAGTCATCCAGCATTATAATCTTCTATTGTTTGAAGACTATACTACAATATGTACATTTGCATTCATTTAAAGACATTTTGACTTTTTATCATTGATAGATGGGCTTTTGGGGGGATCATTCTTGACGTGCAGTGGCCTGATTTTTCCCTTGAATTGGGGTCTTGAAAAAAAGTTCCAGGATTTGGTGGGGACCCTGAAATATGTACTAGCATGGACAGTTTTTAAAAAATGATCCTTCAGGCCTGGTTTCACTCTAATTTGCCATTTCTGTGATTATGTGACTGATAATGATTCCCATAACTGAATATTTTTAATCCTTGAATGTAATACTTTGAGAAAATGAGAAAAAACAAGAAAAAATAACTTAAATGTAGATTTTGGTGCTAAGAGGTAGAGTTTTGCCTTGAGAAGGTCTCTGAACTCGGACAGACATGATTTTCTCCTACTGATGCCTCGATCTTCACTCACAGGCTCTGGGAGGACGCGGCCCACGCCAGCCTCCCCTCAGAAACGACGCCGACGCCCAGGCACTGTGGCGTTGCAAGAGATTCGACGATTTCAAAAGTCCACAGATCTGCTACTGCGCAAGCTGCCATTTGCACGAGTGGTGAGAAAATACATATTACTTCGGAGTGTATTGGTCTTGCTTTAGATGGAACAGGGATGCAAGATCTTGCTTATAAATGCAGAGAGGTCTTTTAACGTCTTAAGCTCGTTAAATTATATCAGTGTACTCTTTTGTGAAATTTCTTTTTTAATGCTTTTTTAGCGTGCTTTTTTAAAAATCACATATAGCTAGCTATGCCTGATACTGTTGCCATCACTTTTGACAAGTTTGAAATAGTGAAAGCTATACCTTGTGTTGGACTCCTACTGTTGTACTTTTCCCCTGATCATCCGCTATGAACACAGCATGGACGAGTAACCATTGTAAACCTTCCCTCTGTATAATATGTCTGTCCATAGGTGAGGGAAGTGGGCGCAAAAGTGGCACCGTACAGTATGCAGAATCTGAGGTGGCAGTCTTTGGCCATCTTGTGCCTACAGGAGGTATGCCTCGCAGCCTTTGATCAAGTGAAAAGAAAATAGTACCTCTTTTATATACTATATTGTCAATTGCTAAATTCTGGGTCATTAAAATTCGTTTCTTTGAGCAATTTTTTTCCCCGATTGACCATCTAGCCCAACTGTAAAGTTTCATCAAACAAATGTGTTTTTCTTCAATTTGAAATGAATAAACAACAGGCCATATTTGAAAGGTATTTGGACAAGAACAAGTCCAGTTGAAAGTTGAAAAAAATCGCATTTCTTGACAGTCACCCCTTGACTTTATGTACATCATGTTTGACACCATGCACAGGCAAAAACTCAATTCTCAAAGTAAATACTTCAGTAAACGCTCACTCAAACTCTTGTTCCACATTGAAAAACATTGTTTGAATAAGAATACAGACATATATATTTATAGCAAGAAAACTGACATTTATTGAAAATGTCAATCAAATAATCAAAATAACAAGCAAGATCTGTAGCCAATTACGTATTAGGCCTATTTCTTTTCTTTTTTTTCAAGAGTATAGGTCACGTGAGACAAATAAGAAGTTGACACATAAAATGTTTTTCCAAAATAATTTTTGGGTGAAATAGGGATTTAGCATGAAGAATGAGATTTTATGGGGAAGG